AACTCGGTTACTAATCATATTAGTGAATTTAATGCAATTATTGCGCAGTTAACATCAGTGCGAGATAATATTTGATGATGAGGTGAAAGCATTAATTTTATTATCATCTCTACCGGAAAGTTGGGGTGCAATCATGTCATCGCAGTTAGTAATTCTGCAAGCAATAACAAGTTGAAGCTTGATAACATCCGTGACTTGATCTTAAGCGAAGATGTTCGCGAGAAAAATTCGAGTAGAATCTTTCGGTTCTAATTCAGGTTCAAGCATTGAGTGCTGAAACTAGAGGAAGAAGTCGCCGTAAAGGTCGTAATCAAGGCCGAGGCAGATCAAAATCCAGAGGGAGATCACAAGCAAAAGTCCGAATGATATCACTTGTTGGAATTGTTAGAAAAAGGGCCACTTTTCAAATCAGTGTAGGGCTCCAAAGAAGGACAACAACAACAACAAGAAGCAAGATGATGATCAATCAGCAAATGCAACGAATCGATGAAGTTGAAGATGCACTCGTTATGTAGTTTAGATAATTCTATTGACTCATGGATTATGGACTCAAAGTGCGTCATTTCATACTACACCTTCCTTAGAACTATTATCTAACTATGTTTCTGGAAAGTTTGGGAAGGTCTACCTTGCAGATGGAAAATCTCTTGATATCATAGGAAGAGGTGATATTAACATCGGAACCTCTAATGGAAACGTGTGGACTTTGAATAATGTCGACATATTCCAACCTTAAAGAGAAACTTAATATCTATAGGGCGCTTGGATGATGAGGGACATTACACCACTTTTGGAGATGGACATTGGAAGGTAATGAAAGGTAATCTTGTTGTTGCTCGTGGAAAGAAGCAAGGATCTCTCTACATGATTGCAGATGAGGATATGATATCGCTTGCGAAGTTGGCAACAATTCCTCCTTATGGCATCGGAGGCTTGGGCATATGAGTGAGAAAGGAATGAAGCTCATGATATCAAAAGGTAAAATACCTAACGTGAAGCATGTTGACGTTGGACCTTGCGAACATTGTATCTTTGGAAAGCAGTAAAAGGTTAGCTTCTCCAAAACAAGTAAGTCGTCTAAAGTTGAAAGACTAGAACTAGTGCATACGCATGTTTGGGGCCAGCTTCAGTGAAATCCCTTGGAGGTTCACAATATTATGTAACCTTCATTGATGACTCTACAAGAAAGGTATGGGTTTATTTTCTTAAAAATAAATCCGATGTGTTTTCTCGTGTTTAAAAGGTGGAAAAAGGAGGTTGAGACTCAAACAAGGTTTAAAGGTCAAATGTTTGAAGTCTCGATAATGGTGGAGAATATGACAGTGAGTCAATTCAAGGAGTTTTGTTCGTGAGAATGGGATCGTAATGATCAAGACAGCTCCAGGAACACCGGAACAAAACGGTGTGGCGTAAAGAATGAACGGAACCTTGAATGAGAGAGCAAGATGTATGAGAATCCAATCAGGATTACCCAAGGTATTTTGGGCGAGATGCAATAAGCACAAGCAACCTATCTCATAAACGAGAGGACCATCAGTTCCTTTAGACTATAAGTTACCCGAAGAAGTATGGTCTCGAAAAGAGGTAAATCTTTCACATCCGAAAGTTTTTGGTTGTGCTTCATATATTATGTTAGACTCTAATAGTAGAGATAAATTGGACCCTAAGGCAAAACGTTGTTATTTCATTGGTTATGGATCTGACATGTTTGGCTACGTGTTTTGGGATGACCAAAACAAGAAAATTATCGAAGTAGAAATGTTACTTTTAATGAAAACATGTTCTATAGAGACGAGATTGCGGAATCCGCAAATGTAAATAAACAACTAGAGCAAGTATCATTAGAAGAAATTTCGAAAGTGATGTAGTCAACCGAAGGCGGAATATACAAGTAGAGCCTATGTCGAGCCTCGAGACGAACCCGAACAAATAGTAGAGTCAGCAACTCCTGAAATCTTGGTTAGAAGATCTAGCGTAACAATTGTAGCACCACAAAGGTATTCCCCTTCATTGCATTATTTGTTGTTGATCGATGTCTGGTGAGCCGGAGCATTTTGTCGAGGCTATGCAGGGAGATGAATCTATTAAGTGGGAGCTAGCAATGGAAGATGAGATAAAGTCCCTTCAGAAGAATAAAACATGGTCTTTAACCAAGCTACCGTAAGGAAAGAAAGTTTTGCAAAACAGGTGGGTCTATAGGTTGAAAGAAGAACCGGATGGCAAAGAAAGATATAAGGCTAGACTCGTAAGTGAAAGGGTTCCAACAAAGACAAGGAATTGACTTCACGAAATTTTCTCTCCCGTTGTCAAGATGACTACCATCGGAGTTATCTTGAGTATAGTAGACTGCAGAAAATCTTCATTTGGAGCAGTTAGATGTCAAAACTGCATTCTTACATGGGGATCTTGAAGAGGAAATTTTTATGACACAGCCAAAAGGTTTTGAAGTACAAGGCGGAGAAAATCTTGTATGCAAGCTTCATAAAAGTTTGTACGGATTAAAACAAGCGCCGAGACAATGGTACAAGAAGTTTAATGAGTTTATGAGAAACTCAGGATTTCGCAGATGTGAAGAAGATCACCGTTGTTATGTGAAGAAATATGTTGATAGCTATATCATTCTTGCCTTATATGTTGACGACATGTTGATTGTTGGAGCTAATATGACGAGAAATTGACAAGTTGAAGAAACAATTGTCAGAGAGCTTTGAAATGAAGGATCTTGGTCCAGCCAAGCAAATTCTTGGTATGAGAATCTCCCGAGATAGAGATAAAGGTATTTTGAACTTATCTCAAGAAAAATATATAGAAAAATTGCTTAGCAGATTCAATGTTGGGAATGCTAAAACCAGGAATACACCTTTGGGAACTCACTTAAAGTTTTCAAAGAGGCAATATTCTCAAACGAAGAAGAAGAAAGTCACATGTCTAAAGTGTCATATGCATCTGCAGTAGGAAGCTTGATGTATGCTATGGTTTGCACCGGACCGGACATAGCACATGCAAGTGGGAGTTGTGAGCAGATTTCTATCAAATCCCGGAAAGGAGCATTGGGAAGGAGTGAAGTGGATATTCGGATATTTGAAAGGCACTTCAAAGATGCATTTGTCTTTCAAGAGAAGTAATCTCATTTTACAGGGGTTTTCCGATGCGAGACTTGGGAGGTGATCTTGACGGTAGAAAGAGCACAACAGGTTATATTTTTACATTGGGTGGTACAAGCTATCGGTTGGAAGTCTAAACTTCAAGGAAGGGTCTCTCTCTCAACCATCGAAGCGAGTATGTAGCTATCTCGAAGCAGCGAAGGAGATGATATGGTTGAAGAACCTTCTAAAAGAATTAGGAAGAGAACAAGATGGTTCTCCGTTGTTTAGTGACGATCAAAGTGCTATTTGTCTTGCTAAAAATCCAATCCTTCATTCCAGATGTAAGCACATTGAATTGAAGTATCATTTTATCGAAACTCGATAAATGATGGAGACTTGAGTTTGTTGAAGATTCCAGTGCGGAGAATCCCGTCGATATGTTGACCAAGATCTGTTACAACAACTAAGTTGAGGCTTTGCATTGCCTCAACCGGCCTTCGAGCAAATTGATGATGAAGGCACTACACTAGGTGGTAACGTAAATCAAACTCCAAGTGGGAGAATTGTTAGTATTATGGTGCTTGATTTAGTCCCACATCGATTAGGATTGTGAGATGAGGTTCTCTATTTTGTTATATAAGCAACCCTATGTAAAGTTTGAGATATACACAGAAATAAAAATACTTCCTAGTGTAGTCGTGGACGTAGGCATACATATTTTAGCCGAACCACGTTAAAATTCTTGTGTCGTTTATTTTTCTCTCCTTTATTCTTTCCTTTATTATTGTCTTGTTCCTAACAATTGTATCCAAGTTAGGAATGAAAAATACTTATTCACCAGCTTGAGGGGAAATGTAGAAAATCAAATAGTATTTGAGGAAAGAATAAATTAAAAATTTTGTATATTTCTTATAATATGTACAAATTTAAATAATTAGGAACAATCTCATATATATCTTGTATGATTTTTTTTATTAAAAATAATGAAATCAGATTTCATTTAATCTACTTTTCCAAAATTTTCGAAGTAGTATTTGATTAAAAGATTTACAAATTTTGACATGCAAATAAATGGATAGAGCTACAGTAGTTTCTACTTGGAACAAGGGAACTTAATTAGGTACTTTTAAAGTCAATTTTCATGCCTAAATTATTATCTTTAATTTCGACTATCTTTACCCTCAACTAATAAATAATATGGCGACTAATAAATAATATGAAACCGTGACCATACCGATACCGAAACAGGTACCATTTCTAGTGGTTCGGAAAGCCAATAGTGCTAAGTAACCGTAGTTTTTAAGAAAATCCTAATATCGAAGCAAGAAATTACTTGTGGACTTGAAAAATTATTCCTTTTCAGAGTTGGCTTTGTGTGCAAAGGACATTCCCTGCCTGTAGAATGTATCAACAGATTGATATACTTTCCTAATCAAAATCTCAGGCTATGTTCTGTAGAGCAAACAAATGCATCCGCTACTACTAATAACATGATTAACTGAAGACCAAGAATACGATCTTGTCTTGTGGTTAAAAGTTAACCCAGTCGGTTGTAGCTATTTCAAAATGCTGCCATCACATCAACATGAATTAAATTAAGAATTTCATTTGTTCCCGAAATATTATTGTAGTACTATACATTTATTGTAGAACTATTTAAATTCGGCTAATCCACCGTAGAAGACATGTAATTGCCATTAATGTTTGCAAATCAGCTGACCTTGCAAACAGTGAATTTACAATGAAATTGACACGTCTATGGATGCATGTTCGGCAATTACTTTATACAAAAGGAGAAGCAAAGTGGAAAAGATTTCCAAGAGGACTAGTAGAAAAAGGTGAACATCTACACCCCAAGCTAAGAATCCAAAAAAAAAAAAAAAGAAAAGCATGATAAAAACAAGTTCACTAATTTCACAAACTCTTAGATACCCTTGTATCTGTGTCATCTAAACTCAACGAGAACTCACAAGAAATGCGTGTTGACAAACTCCACACTCGATTGTCTCTGAACCCGAGCTTGGTACCTGGACCTGCAACAATTTCAAAAAAAGACATTCATTATGACGTACGTGTTGGAGAGAAGTTAGGAGAGATTCCTGCAAAATCAATCAACGAACATTCAACCTGAAGATGGACAGTGCAAATAGGGCATGCAACTTCTTTCATTCGTCTTCCAGATCCATCAGACTTAGAGCCTGTGAACAAAGCCACTTTATGAGCCACGAACACTATTTTTCATATCTTATTATCTCAAATATATAATCTTGTAACTAATTAAATCACCCACAAAAGGGATTCTCACTAAAAGTTGAACCACCTTGTTTGACAATTCATGAATCTAAATAATACAGCAATTTTTACAACTCAGGCACCAGAATTAGCATTAGATTAAAATACGTACCTGATATCCTTTTATTCCTTTCTAGCTCATCCTACAAAAAACTCAACAATAAAATAAATCACCATCTGATGGACGCTTACTTACACATGTATGTTTAACTACGTAACTAAAGCAAATTAAAACCTTCAATAGCAAATAAAAATAACATTATCAAACAGTACGCCATGCCCCTATTATTTACCTGAAGTTTCTTAGCAAGATCCTCATGACTCTGCAACACAGGTTTACTTGATGACCCCTTAGCATTGCTCAGCCTTGAAGTCACTACAGTCTAACAGGAAACAGAGTGTGACATTCCACATCTTGCAATTCTCACAAACCACTGTTTAAAAATATAATATATAGCAAAATAGCTTCCACAGTTTCTAGCATTGACTACACAAATGCAATTGAAAAATGGAAAAAAACAGGATAAAAGACCCCATTGAAGGCCAAACAATCATATTGAAACTTTCATCCATAGACCTTCGAATCTCAGAAATTACAGGCGACATAAATCATGCATCAGTTTATGGGAAGGTGAAGAGATGAAGAGGAAAGTCAACAAACACTACACATACCATGCATCGATCACAAACTCGTACTGGTTGAGCATTCTCATCAGATGTAAGAGCACTTCTACCACGTGTGCATTTATCACAAAAGATATCCCCACAGTTCCTACAGTGATGCTGTTCAAAGCACAGATGATCAAGCATTAGTACCCAAGCACAAAAAATAGAAAACATAATTAAAAGGAATAGGAGATCAACCCTACGAACAAAGGCACCAAAATCTACTCCACATGCTGTACATTTTGAGACTGCTTCGTCTGGGACCTACGCGTAAATTAAATGTGATAAGAACTCTCACCGAGTACAAGAAAAAATGAAAGGAATTAACACACTAGCATTATAAAAATAAATTCATAAGGTTAAGAGTGCCAGACCTTGTGCAAGGTCATAGCAAAGAAAGGAATTCATATATGCAATATTTGAGTCATCGAGGATATGTATAAGGGAGTGTGGCTATGGTGGGGAAACAAGATTGGGTTTCAACAGATGTCCAATAACCACAGGGCTAGATCAAAGGTCAGATTATAAGTCCTTACCTCTATATTTTTGCCCTAGGTATGATTCCTGAGCACATCCATGAGCCAGTGATATGATGCATGCATTTTATAAGATGATAAAGTTCAAGTTGAAGAATCAATTGAAAAAATATAAATGGGAATTTGAGAAATGGGGACAAGCTTTTAAAGCATATGGCTTTCACCTAAGTAAAAGCAACACCAAGTATATGGAATATAAGTTTAGCAAGAAGAAGAATGAGCTTAGGTTAAAGGTGAAACTTCTGAGAACATACTTTATTCAAGTCAATGAATTTAAGTATTTAGGGCCCAGCTTACACAATGACAAAGAAATAGAGGAAGATGTAAGCCACAAGATTCGTGTAGGGTTGATGAAATGGAGGAGTGCTTCAGCTGTTATCTATGACAAAAAAGTATAACTACACTGTTAATGGGACTAAACATTGAGCATTAAAAGGCCAACAATGGAACTCAATGTAACAAAATTGAGAATATAGTGGTGGATGAGTAAACATTTTAGATGTAAAAGGATTAGGGATGAATGCATTACCAAAAATTTTGGAAGAACACCATGGTACAAAAAAGATGGTAAAAAACTTGCCTTAGGTGGTTTGGGAATGTGTAGAAAAGGCCTGTAGAAACTTCACTAAGCAAAGTAAATTAGATGGATGGTAACCCAGATACCAGAGACAAAGGAGAGTTGAGAAAAAAAGTATAGGTGAAAGCATTAAGATTTTTGGGGTCAATAGTTTGTTCGTAGACATAATTTGCGATAAAAACATTACAATGTTATTCGGTTCATCTAGCTCACCTCACCTAATGGTAAAAAACTTAGCTGTTTTTCTTTTTGATGAATCAATGGCAGCAACACTGCACATTTGTCCCAACAATCACAACCAACCAGCAATATAAAATAACATTGTATCCCAGTAAAAGTAAAAATAAAAATAGCTCAAAAAAAAAAAAAACATTGCTAAAGCCATAGAGTCCTTTTAGGGGATGCGTAAGAGGGACTTCGACTCCTTTAAAACAAAGGATATACTTTTGAAGGTGTGAAATTACAACTGATGATTGGGAAGTCAGTGGAGTATGTTTTAATAACTTCATCATAGTTTATTATACATGTCGATGTATTTTATTACAATCTCAACCATTGACATTTCAATCAACAGTTGTATCTCTGCACTTTATAATATAAAGTACTCCATTTCCTTTATAAAAGCCAAATCTGGTAAGGGCATAGGTAGAAAGAGAAAGAAAACTAAGTTGCATCTAATGTTACCCAATGATCCTTCTCTTCATCGGGAGGTTTAATCAAATTCATCCAATCACCAAATCCTCTTTTTTTCTCTGTAGACTGTTCATTTGTTCTCAATGATTCAGCAGGTCTCCTGCTTCCACCCATTTCCTTGAACTGCAATGAGAAAACAAGAGAAGATCATGACAAATGTTAACCCCCAACATTGAAAAAATTATTTGAAAGAACTAGATAAGTATATATAGCCAAGAACCTAACGAGTAAGGATTCAAACTACGATATCTTTATATAGGATTAAAGATATAGGATCTAGCTAGGAACAATGTCAATAGAAGTGATGAGTTTTATATCATTGCATGAGACATAGCAAAAATTATATGATACTCCAACTTGCCAAGTCCATGGACCAAGAGAAAAGGACAAAAAGATATCACTCCCTCTTGTCCCAATTATAAGGTACATTTTAGAAGAAATTGGTGGTTCTTTTTATTCAGCATTTTATAATTTCTATACAACTTCAGATTTGTTTTCCTTGTTTACCCCTATAAAATATTAAGAGTATTTGTGTTTTCAATTAATGAATAGTGAAGAGAAAATTTTAAAAGTCATTAACAATAAAGGTTAAACTAGTACATTAGAAAAAATATGGTAAAACAAAAATTATTTTACTGGCATGTGTGATTATGTTAGAAGTGATATATATTAAGAGGGAGTAAAACAAAAATTATGTAAGTTATTCAAATTAATTTAGGACACGGCGATAATTTCACTTAATGTCAATTGATTTTAAAATGAAATTTGAAATACTATTAGAGCCTAGCTAATCTTAGCAATTCCAAATTCTTATATACTCACCTAGTTTGGTTTTCATTTATGGACAGAGTGTTGGGAAGTTCCACATTGTCTTCCTCAATTATTGGCGTAGGACTTATATATTTATTGGATAATTTAACTTAAAAGTCAATTTACTTTAAGATAAAATCTGACATGATATTAGAATTTGGAGTTCACCTTGGTATATCGCCTATTCTTATAGGATGGCTTGTTTAGCATGCATATGTATGTGAAGGGAGGATATTGGGAAGTCTTACATCACCAACCTTTTAAAATGTGGCTTAAAAAACTTCAGTTAATGTCAATTGAATTTAAGATAAAATATGGTCAGGAGTAATGTTAATAGGAAGTGATGATTAATCCTATATTTCATCTTTGGTGTAATTATTTCCAGACATCACAATTACTAGAGAAATAATAGGATGATGTTCAGTTCAGCATACAGTACACATTACAAGTAAAACATACAGCTCTCCAACAAACGCTGTGTATAACTATTCCTTTTATACATCTCCTAGAAGTCAAAATTACTAGAAAAATAATAGGATGATGTTGAAGTTCCGCACATTACAAGTAAAAAATACAGATCTACAACGCTTGGTAATATGGTGGGACTGTGAATTTGGAGCACAGATACTATTGCTAGTACAGTCAACTGCCAAAAAGCACAACTAGTAGCCAATTTGTAAGATAAAAAGGATCAACTTGATACCACTTAAAAACTGCATCAGGAGAATTGTTTGGATCTTAATCAAACATGTTTGTTGAAAATTCCCACACAAAAGCCTGAACTTTGCTTTAATTCAAAGGACACGTTAACTTTTGGAAACAGCACAATATCTTCAGAATTGGTGCTTGAAATCTTTAACATTTTGATTAAGAACAAATGGTGAGGCCAATTTAAGGAGAAAAGGTCGACGCAAGTAAGTAGCCCCAAATAATCACAAATGTCATCAATTAGTAATACTAAACAAATGTACACCACATTTTAACTTAGAGAAGGCAAGAAACTAAAGCTAAATCCTGTCTCACAACAGTTGAAACAAACCCAGTGTCTTCCAGAAGATATTAATAAATTCCCAGTTTTGTAATATAATTTATCAGCAAAATAATACTGGTATACATGAAGGATGAATTTCTATGAACCTGTATGGTAGCAGCAGTTACTGTATCCAAAAGTGTGTTGGTCGTATAACTATTGGATTGCAGTCTTATTCGCCTTGACTCAATATCCACCGAGCTCTTTGACCAAAATGCAAAGGTAGATGAATCGAATTTCTACATAATTCAATTAGAAAATATATATTGACAATGACTACAAAATAATTTCAAATAATCACCCAAAACTTCACAAAGGAAAGCAATAAGCTTACATCACATCTTGTTATGTTCTCAAGTGGATATATTCTCAATGTTCGACTAGTAGTTGGATCCAGCATACGAATTCCATCCAAACCGATCTGAAAGAATTAGCATCAGCAAAACCACTAACTCAGATCAACCACCACGGTAGTGATAAACAGCCAACAAATAGTTTAATGAATGCACAACAGAATTTATGCTTTGTGCCTTGAGATAGAAGATATTCACAAAAAAAGTTGGTTTCTGCATACCTACAATACTCAGAATCTGGATAACTGTAATATAACAACAAGAAAAGCTTTGATTCCAGTACAAAATGGAAAAAAATTGATTGACCATACAAATAATCAAAGTGCCAAAAACACGCATACATATCTGCGAAAGTATTTCCATTTGCTTTTACAAATAAATATATTGCGAAGCTATGCCTTTTGAGAATATATTAAGACTGCGATCGAATAAAAGTTGAGAAAGTACTTTAATTAATTTTGATGTATAATTCTGATTTCCAATGCATTAAACGGAGAAGGAAGATTTTGTTACTTTTTTAGGAATAAAAATACTTATGGGATCTGCCATAAGAAATCCTAAAAATAAACTAACATATTCAAAGTTGTAGCTACTTATTATATTCTCTCCAGGAAACAAATGAGAATATGTTATGCACATTCGGTTTCCTCATTTCTATTCTCATCTTCATTAAAAATAAAAATAGGAAATGGTGGATAAAATGTGCTTGGTTGTCTAATAGGAAATCTTTTTTGTCTGAAAATATTTTCAGAATACATCTTAAAACTGGAAATAATTTTAAACCCTCCTAGAATACAACATCCTCATGTATCAACGTTCTCTAATTCATTAAAATTAAATGAATCAGAGAAATATTGAATAACAGTATTATTACTATGGGTCCTTCTAACTAGTGTTCTAAGAGCACTGATAATGAAATTTAAATAGAAATTTTTATTGAAATTCACATTAGAAATGCATTGGAAATTATAATAAAATGTATTAAGGATACTTTTTAATGAAATTTTTCAATTTTAAAATTATTTTCTGAAGGGTACGTCCAACCGAAGTTTCTTATCAATAAATAATAACATTATTTTAATATAGACTCAAATAATTTCTTTAAAATAAAAGAGAACTTCTTATATAAATAAACAAGTTTCTTCGATTTTATGGTACCTATATTTCTAGGGTTTACATTAAAGTAATATTTTATTGATAAATAACTCTTTCTAGAAACTCCCATTATAGATGCTCAACAATCAATTTTAAATTCTTTTAACAAATATAAAGTTTTTCTCTTGTAAAAAAATTGATTAATTTCCTCAGTTTTCAATGATGTTTTTTTCTTAATAGTCTCTCTCAATTAAAAATAATGCATGTACTGATAGAATGGGCTTAAAATCATTTCCAATCCTAGTATACGGAAGATTCATGATAGTTACTCATCTAGTTATGGATATTACTGGCTTACATACTCTAACCAACCTTCAAATGCAACTCAAGCCAAAAGCGAAACTAGCAACACACAATAAACAAAAACGCCGTCATCAATCATCTTAGTCCACAATACTATACCTGACAGAGCACATCCATAGTGCTCTGGCCACCACTTTCCGCCAACAGCTTCACTCGAAACTTCTGCACTCCCCTATTCGCATCTTCTCCAGAATCCACCTTCGGCACCGCTTTCACTACCTTGCTCGTCGCAGACGGAGCGCCACCAATCGCTCTCCCGAAGTCATCGAAACTGGACCAAGTGGAAGCCGATGTTGGCGCCGAGCCCCGCGCTCCGTACGGCTCCGCTTTTCCGCCTTCGTACGGAAACACTCCGTCTCCGTAAACGCCATCGTTCCGATAATCGGAGCGGGAACCGTAGTCGTCAAAGCCGTACGCAGGAGCGGAGTAGGGAGGATTGGGATTAGGGTTGGGAGGAAGAGAGGGAGGTGGAGGAGGGTAAAATGGAGCCGCGTGATGATGATCGTAGGTAGGATAATAAGGTTGATGTGAGGGTTGGATTGAGGGATTGAAGGAGTAAGAAGGTGGAGTGTAGGTTGGGGAGGGAGGTTCGGGATAGGATGGAGGGTAAGGGGCATAACCGGCGCTGAAGGGAGGTGCGGATGAAGCGTAAGGATTTGAGAGTGGATCGGCGGTAGGGTTGGGGTGGGATGTTGGATTAGAGATTAGGTCTGGGTTTTGGTTGAATTGATAGTGTGGAGTTGAAGTGTAATCTCCGTGATGCATTGGTGAACGGTGATTTGATTCAACGATTGGAGCGAAGGAGAAGATGAAGAATACAAAGACGAAAATGACACCGATTACACTTCTCAGTTAGCTCCGAACAACTAACCACCGGAAGAAACAAATGTGTGTGGAGTGCTTCCAATTTCCCAATTTTGTTTCTTTTTCATCTAAAAAGTAAAAAGTGTTAGAATGTTGTGAGGTTGATTTTTGACTTTTTCAAAAGTCAAAATGTTAATTAACTTACACTTTTTTTTAAAATAAAAATAATAATCTTCAAGTCTTAATATAAAATCCATTTAATAATAACATATTTTAAAAAAATATTTAAATAAAATTTTTATCATTTAATTAAAAATATTTATTATTCATATATAGAATATTTTGGAATTTTTTAATATAAAAAATATAATTTTTTAATATAAAATATAATTTTTTTCTTTTTTATTTTTTTGCTCTTTATTAATTTTTTTTTCTTCTATATTATATTTTCGATTAAAAATATTATATTAAGATTTGATAAAAATGTGTTAAAAATTAAAAATAATTTGTTTTAAAATAATTTTTTAAAATTACTTAATTTAATTAATCATAATAATTCAATTTATCTATAATTAGATTAAATTATTAAATAAAAAATAATTAATATTTGAGATTTTGAATTAGATAAATAATTGATTTATTATGATAAAATATTTTTAAATTAATTATTATTATTATTATTATAAATAAAATTATTTATTATTTTTAATATGTTTTTAATAATATCTATCTAATATTTTTAATTAAAAAAACAAGTGATATAAGAGAAAAGAACAACCTATATTAATATAGAAAGAGAAAAAAAATTATGAATGAGAAAATAAAAAAAATGGAATAATAAAAACTGAAAAAGAAGAGAAAAACAAATTGAGTGAAGAGAGAAGAATCCTACATAATTTTATTTTTTAAATATATTATTAATGACATTGATTAATAGTATATAATAAAATAAAAAGAAAATAAAATATACATTTACTAATGTTACGAATTTATTCAAAATTTATTTTATAAAATAAATTTATAAAAGTCCATAATAAAATAAGGGAGTTTTCTCCATTTTTATAAGAAAACAAATATTGACACTTTTTTTTTCCTTCTTTTCATTGATCTTGTTAGTATAATAATAAGAAAGGAATGGAAGTGAAAAATTAGCAACCAAATTAAAATAAAAATTTTTGATACATCTAACTTAATCAAATTTTGTATGTGAAATTTACATATTTTTTTGTACGAACTTACTTTATCTTTAAAGTCTTTTTTGAAGTTTTTTCTTTTACTTCTTCTTTTATATAAGGAACCTTTTTTGGAGGAGTTAATATTGAGTCTCTTGAGGAATTTTAAGAAAATTTTAATAACATTCTGGATATTCATGGTATAAGGTTGGTCATGACTCTACTTGATGGAAGAAGAAAGCAATTTCCATCATAACTGATAATGAATTGAGTTTACATGCTTGTAAATAAAATTTCTTGAACTTAATATTATTTTTCAAACTTTTGGTATAGAGATACCTCAATCAAATAGTCAAGTTGAAAGAAAACACAAACATATCCTATCGTGTCTTGAAATTTAAAAGTAATATTTTTATTTCTTTTTGGGTAATATATTGTAACAATTGGATATCTAAAAAATAAAACACCTTATTTGTTAGATGGAAAACTCTTTTAAAATGTTATATGGGCAATCATCTTCATATAGTCACTTAAGAGAGTTTGATTTATGCACATAATTGAGATAAGAAAGGAGATAGGTTTTCTAGTCGTAGTAAGCAATATGTTTTTATAGATAAAAAATAATTGTATGATATAGAGACTAAAAGTTATTTTGTATCAAGGGATGTCAAATTCTTTGAAATTGAATTTCCTTATACAAAACTCATCTTGCTAACCAGTAACAAGACTATTCCTATTGTGATGACTTTCAATATTAATATTAAAGATAACAGTATTAAAATGGTATTATTAGTTCTTTCTCAAAAGGCTAGATGATAAGTCAAACAAGAGAGATAAAATTTAGAAAATAAACTCTCTTCTTAAAATGAGACAGAAAATAAAGATCACCTTTGACGAGAAAAACATCTTAAATTTTCAGGCATTAATATGCAAATAAAATTAAGTACAAATCAAATTGAACTATAAATTGTGTTAAAGCTCCATTAGTGGTACTCGAAAACTATCAAGTTAAAGGAGTTAATTATACAAAAACATTTGTCATGGTAAAAAAGATGGTTACACCAAGAGCTATTACAATATGTATCATCTTCAATTGCAAAGTAAATTCTTTTTCTTCTTTTGTGTGGAATTGTATCTTTTCTTTAATATTTTTCTAGCTAAAATTTGGTAGAAAATTATGAAAATTGTGTTTTAATATCATCATCAAAAGGAGCTTGTGAGATGTTAGAACAAATGGGAGACCTATAGAACATAGTTTGAAAAAAATGTGTGAAATTGAAGAAAAAGTTTGAAAAGTTTGAAAATTTTCAATAAAAGGAGATTGAGTATTTTGCATCATATTGATCAATGTTAATGGTAACAAGAAAGGGGAAATGATAATTTTAAGTAACTAACTTTTTCGGTGATTGCATAAAGGGAAAGAATGGAGGATGCTTTTGAGAATTTTTAGTTGAATGAGTTATTTAGTAGTTTAACAAAAAAATTAAAATAAACTTGTTAATTAAATTGGTTTTGATCCATTTGGGGAAGAAGAAGAAAAATCTCAATTAGAAAGTGAGGATTTGAGGTTGACAATGTCTAATACTATATAACTTATGTTTTAAATAGAATTACTCAATTTATATAACTTTTTAACGAAACTTTTAGATTTTAAATAGTAAAAATTTAGTAGGAAACATAGAAATTATGTAGGAAGTATCTGAATAGTATAGCTAACCGATAATATTTTATAACAAACATTTATTTTGCATTTTCAATTTGATTTTTTTTTTCTAATTTTTATTTTCCTTGTTCATGTGCTACACTCCCTTCTCACATTTGGTTTTTTTAGATTTAGCTTTTTTCACCCTTGATTTGTCAAGCTCCTAGTTAGATTTTGTCAAATTCAATTCAAATATCATATCCCTGCACCTCACCCTTCTTCCCTTCACTCTTCTTCTTCTTATTTTGCCTCCTCCCACCCCATCACCCCTTCTTCCCTTTACTTCACCTCTCCTAACTCTCTCACTCTACCTCAAATCATCATCAATTGTCTTCCCTACCCTCCCATTCCCTCTTTCTTCCCAAACCACCACTAACTACCTCCCACGACCCTCTCCTTCCTCTTTTTTACCTTAAACAACCATTAACTATTTATATTTTACCTTTCCCTCTTTCTTCTTTCCACCCTGTCAACTCTTGGAACATAAAAGTTTCAGTTTTTAATTTTGGTCATGATTTTTCTTATGGTTTGGTGGTTGATGATTCCCTCCACAATCGCTTAATGAATATTATTTTATTTTATTTTTGTCTAATTTATGTGTATCTTAAGGTTCTTGTCAAATAACTCATTCTCCAACCTAGAGATCTTAGATGTTACTTGAATGCATATTTTTTGAATAAAATATCTTATACTTAAGACTTAAGGGAAAACCTTGCAATAAAGTGTTCTAAGTGCATCTATGACGTTTATACCAACATCTTTAATAGAGAATCTTCATCATACATTTTAATCATAAGATCTCATATTTCCAAAATCTTGTATTATATCCCAAGAGAAGATCTCTAGCGTGATAAATAAGTTATTCTCCAAGATATTTAAACATTCAAAATAATATATTTTTAATAATCTTTCTTTAACACTAATAAAAAAAGTAGACAAAAAATAATGTTCTTTAGTGATATTATATGTGAACTGTTATTAAAAATATATATTAACAATTTTGAAATTATTTTCAACTTTCTCACAACAACGATGGTTGTACATATTGTCATATGTCATATATGGTTTAAAAAACAAATATTATCATATGTCTAACTTTTTATGTCTGGTTAACTTTTCAATTCACTCATTTTTTTCATTTCACTTTCTCATCCTACTTTTATTTTATTTGTCTCGTCTTTCCCTATCATTTCCTCCTCCTCTACCACTCTCCTTTTTTTTTTTCACTATGTCCATCATGATTAAACTTTTTTATTTTTCTTTATTTCTCTTATTCGTAAAATGTCTTTCCACCGCAAATGTCTACAAATGCTCAAAGTCGTCGCAAGAAAGAACGATAAAGAAATGTAATATTCTAACAAGAAGTTGATTCATATTACATTAGGAAGCTTGTTAGATGGGTCAGAGGTAGAAGATGAGTTAGAAAATGTTTTATTGAACATGTTAACGTTGTGCCAAAAGAGCAATAATGAAGAAACACTGAAAATTTACAAGAATGCAAACTTCAAGATTTGTTATGACTGAACAACAACTAGTGAGCATTAAGATATATATAAATATATTTTGTTATTGTATTTTAGGTAAACATATATTTAGTTTATAATTAGTTTCCTAAATATACGTATGATATTATTAGTTTCTTAAGATTACGACTTACACATTACATTTATTCTAAGTTAGTAAATGAGATTAATTAAGAAAAATATTCTTTTAGTGAGTAATATAATACCTTCTAGATTTATTAAAACGTAACAATAAATAAGAATTGTAACATATATTATATTTATAAACATACTGTTTTGGTAACTTCAACTATTCAAATAATGACTATTTTATCATAAAATAGGTTGTGTAGTAATGTAACTACGAGTGGAGGGAATCAACCACCAATAACTAAAACAAATTGAACCACAGGTTCTATATTCGATCATGGCAGTGAGAAGTAAAGGTGTATCATGGTGTTGGTCACTATTGTAATATGGAGAAGGGGGGAAATGAGTGGGAAAAAAGAGAGAGGAAGACTTTGGGCGAGAGGATGTGCCATGGAAGTGAAAGGAAAGGGGAAATTGATAAATCAATAAGAAGGA